GAGAGAGAGAGAGAGAGCAAAGGTCCATTGTTCCGCAGTACAATATATAGCTACAAAAAGAATTGATGATACTGTTGCCATGAGCTTTTCATCAAACCCAGGACATATTTTCATCCTAGAAAAGCCTATTTTTTGTTCTTTTGTGGAGGGAGAAGAGGAAAGGGGGTTTCAAAATCACTAGGGTTCTTGACACAAAATAAGAATTTGTGGGTGTGAGCACAGTCTGAAACGCATGATTTATTTGGTTTGACATGCATGCAAGTATGAGCAGGTAGGCTTTTGTCTACTTGTAGGTAATACAGGAGTACTGCTATCAGTCTCATAGTCACAGATAAAGAAGAAAGAAAGCTCAGAAATGCATGTGGAGGTGTTTTTAATGGTGCTACAAACCAGATTGAAAATTTTCAGAATAGAACATATCTAAAAACCCAACTTATTACTACAAAATTAGTAATAATAATCCCTAGTATTAGGAAACAGAAAAATAACAGCAAGAATTAATGTTGTGGACATGTACAAACTTCAGCTACTTGAATTAAGCACTAGATCTGACCTCTCCATTGTCTCCCTGAAGAAACCCTGATGAATTAGGGTTAGGGTTTTCATGTGCTCCCATCAGCAGATGAAACTGCCAGATGATCTGAGTTTTTTTTCTCCCTGTGGAGATCCATACAACGCACAGATCCAGGATATGATCAGATCATGCTGGCAGCTTCAGCTACTTGTGGTGCACACCGTAGGAAGATGGAGTATCGACATGAGATCAATAGAACAGTAGTCATAGGAATTAAGAAAAGAAGAGAAGAGAGGCTTTTGATGGTTGTACAGAAGGAGGCTTTTACAGGAGGGGAGAGGAGGGGATGATGAGAGGAGAAATATATAGGAGAAGAAAGGAAGAGTGCTAATGTGAAGGGGGTTATAGCTTTTATCATTTAATTTGTGGAAATGGAGGTTGGCATTGACTATAAGAGGAGTTAAGAATAATTTTATGGCAGTGGTCCCAAAGAAAAGGCAATTTAATGCTAATGTCTTACCTGCAGCCTAAGATTTCCATATATTTTCCTTGATCTTTAGAGAGAGAGAGAGAGAGAGAGTAGGGGTCCATTTTGCATGGAGTTTTCTATGTAATGCATATGACTGTCAAGAAAAGGAGTGTATATCATCTTTAACCCAGGAAGCTCAGGAGACATACTCCTCTCTCTCTCTCTCTCTCTTTTGTGTTGTCTATTAGGATTTTTTTTGTATATAGAATGATGACTTTTATTGGTGAAAGGAACAGTGCTGCCCTCTGTGGCAGGCCCAGTTGGTTGCTCACTTGCAGTCATTAAAGACATCAGCCTCTAAGCGGCAAGAACTGATCTAAGAACTGTCCCCTCTCTTTAAGGAGGTAGAAAAGGAGATGTGTGAGGCTAAAAGCTTCTGACATGCATCATTTGCATGTAATTTCCCAGGAACTGTGCATCCATGGCCGGTCTCATGTATAGAACCACAACTCTCCAATACAGTTAAAACTCCAACCCCACTGTCATAAATGATGAAAACATTCACATATAATTTGTCCTATATCTTTGTTGTTTAGTAAGCCATCCATGGATGAACTGTGAAGGTCCATTGCCAGCAGTATCAGTGATTGAAGTTGAATCAGCTTGAGGTTTAAGGGTCAAAGTCTGGCAGATAGGACAGCCGAATGAACAACCAGTTTAGAGCTGTCTTCTAAGCCATAAACTTTAATGAGTTCAGACCAGTAGGTGATCACAAGATTGTAGGTGTAACTACTGCCATCTAATGTTGAATTGGTCAGCTTCATATAAATGTGGCCATTTACATTTATAGCTGCAAATTTCTATATGAGGTTACAAGGAGATGGATGAAGTTTATAAATTAGGATATGGTGAAATCAGGTGAAGGCATATATGTTGTTGCCCCCACATGGTCGACAAAAGCAGTAAAAGAAAGGAAAAAGGAAAATCTGATAAGCAGCAATTTTCAGCTAAAAACATTTCTGTAGCTTCCTTCATAGGCTTCCTGTTAACATATGATACAGCAGGGAAAACTATGTCCCAAAAAGAAATATTTGTGAGATAGGAATGAATTGTAACTCATATATCAATCAAAGCATATTGCTTGACTGATGTGGGTGGGAGTAATCAGATTGGGGCATTGTTGTTTTTCTCCTCACATTTTTCATCTCTGCAATCTTGCTACAACGCAAGGTTTATACTTATTGCTACATCTACCTCACAAGCCACCTTATAGATAGGTAGATAGACATCAAATCACTCTCTAGTAGCTTGGACTCTTCCATGCTTCTTGAGAAAAGCCAATTTGGCTCTATTGCAATCTGAAGAAGCACAAGCAAAAACAATTTGTTGCTATGTTAATCAGATGCAAGTCTACACAATATAGTCTGAGAAGAAAACAAGAAAAAAGAATTGACTTGGACAAAGTGATGAAAGCCTGTAAACAGAAGACTCAACATACTGCAATATACATCTTGCATTTGCCACAAACTTCAATAGGCCTATGAAATGTTATACATCTTTTCTCAAGCAAAGAATTGGCATCTGTGTCTCAAGGATATTATGGATTATTGGTTTAGATTTTCATATTGCTCCTGTAATTTCTAGAGCTCATCGCTACACCTCGAAGAACATTTTTCTCAGGTACTGTACTGGGAACATTCTCTCTCTCGGTGATGGAGAGTAAATTTATGATCCAGTGTGATGAGATAACTTGATAAGATAATTGATTCGTTTAGAAATTGAACTACTAATCGAAAATGCTTAGGCTTAAGTTAACAATAATACATCACTCTTATAAGTCAATCTAGATCTCAATTCACTTTCGATACGAGACTAAATCGAAAGCATTAGGATAAAGATTAGGATGAGTTTCTTCCTGGTAGGTAGCACGGTAGAATCCCGACTGACGTGAGAGTTGAGAGGGAAGAGAAGGATGAGAAGATTGGCCATGTGATGCAACATGCTCTCCTTTCCATTCTTTAGTGAGTGGGGGAATCTGCCATGCTCAATAATATGAACAAATGAAGCTGCCAAGCATGACCTAGCTTTGCAGCAGCTTCACTTTTTTCTATCTTAAGTCTTTTCTTTTGTTAGTCTCAATCTAATAATACAGAACTTTTTTGATTTCATGCAATCTTAAATCTTTAATCATCAAATCATGCTGACATCTACACTGATTCACCCCTAAAGGTTTTTTTAGTCTTAATCTAATAATACAGAACTTTTTTGCTTTGATACAATCTTTAATTTTTAATCATCAAATCAGGGTGACATCTTCACTGATTTCCTTGGGCGCTTTCTGAGGAAGGATCGAGTCAAACTTTATTTGGGAATGATGATGGGGATTGAGGATCAAAAGATAAATCAACAAGAATTTTCTTTTTCCTGGAATGGATAATTTGTTTGAACAGACAAGATAATATATACAAGCACATAGAGACAAAAAGCGCATGCCCAACTTGGGTGGCCAAAGCATCTGAAAGGAGATTGAGGCGTGACAAAGTGAAAGAACCGCTGCCAATAGCATGCAAAGATCTCGAAACATTTCATGTTCCATCTTTAGTCAGCTGTCAAATGACAAAGGTTAGGAAGCTGCAGGCATCACACCATCTCGGTGCAATAAACGGTCCAAAAGTAAAAGCTAAGCACACGCGAGTCATAGAACGCTTTTCGAACACCGCAACCGGCAACGAGAACAGCAAGAAAGATGAATCAAACACAGATCATGAAAGCAGAGAAGAGGATTGTAATCTGCAACACACCACAGTCAACTGAAGAAAGCAGGAGATGTAAAGCAAACCACATGAAAGAACGGAGAACACACATTGACTCGAAAGGAGTGACAGGTAAATTACACCGAGCAACACTTGCACTGACTCAGAAGCAGTGATACATACTGCAGCAAGAGGCTGTCAAATAGATGCTACTGACTTCAATGTGTGTCATCCACAAAATGAATGAACAATGGGTGCTAAATGACACTCACGAAAATAATCAATGACTATAAATAATGTTAAATTAAGCAATGTGTGTCAATCCCCTTGTCGAAGCCCTTTCCCACCTATATTACCAAAAGCTAGTCATGGTGCCACCGGAATAATTTATGCTCGTCCTATACAATTTTACAGGCATTGCTTATCATGTATTTATACCAAGACAGGTTAATCACGATCAACTGCATGGGATAAAAGAAGCCGCCCTGCTCGCAATGCTTTGCTTGGTCGTCAGCTCAATCATCATTCCACCCGTTAGCTATCGGAGCTTTTAATGCGACGATGAATAATGCTTTTCTCTATCACTTTCAGGCCAGCCTGTGGTTACTCAGAATTCACTCGGAATGCACCACCGAGTTAAGAAAACCATGCCCTGAAGGAGAGGCCACAGGCTATATCAAACATTTGCAGATCGATCCAGCAATGTCGTCCTTGCCTAAAGAAGCTCTCAGGCTATCCTCCAGAAGGATCCATGAGAGCAAGTGCCCGCTTGAGTCACCGCTCAACAACTGCTTCAGATCGCTCGTAAGATGGAGTGCTGTAACAGGATGCTTGTGGGATTTGAGCACTCTGTGCATGGTCAACTTGTACTCCGGTAACCTCCCATTTAAATTCAGCCTTCCCACTTCATTGGTCAGTGACTCACTCCTTCCAATGGCCTCATCTGTGGAACAGTGCACCATGTTCCACACCTTCAATGTTCCGCTCCGGTGGCCCGTTACGTACCAGTTTGTCTTGCCAATCAGAGTGCATCGGACTCATCACTGACAAGATAAGGTCAGAAGGGAGTTGCGAGGTGTTCACCACCACAAGGCAGTCCCCGTTGATGCTCCAAACTGCACGCATAATTCCTGCGGCCATCACAACTATCCCTGTGAGTTCATTCACATGGACAGCAGAGACTGGTGCCAGGAATAAAGGAAGCTGCTTCACAAAGACCAGGTTAGTTAAATCCCACAGAATTACACTACAGTCTTCAGATCCCGTCTCGATAAGTGAGTAAGCCTGGCTAACATGGAGGCACGTTATCTTGCCAGTATGGGCACAGAGGGCCCTCATCAAACTCAGGCGGTTGTTTTTGTCAAATCTCCAAACTGCAACAACGCCATCATCGGCACCAGTCACAAGAAACTGTGACTGACTCCAATGCATTGAATCTGGTTTCCACCATGAAGATTCTCATGAGTCGAAAGAAGCTTATCCTGGTCATAGCTCATTATTCTCAAACTTCTATCGGGGAAACCCCAAGAGAAAAACTTGTTATATGTCAATGATTTGAGCAGGCTATTTTCCTTAGCAATGAAAATCTTTTCAGTGAAAGTCACAATCTGAGAGATAGAAGAAGAAGACTGACGGACTTGCTGGGGCATGAGATTGGTGCTGTAACGAAGAGGGAGAGGGGGAATTTTCCTGTCAGTTCGTCGCTTAATGTGGGGCTTCAGGAATAATTGCTTAGGTGTCTGCCCAAAATGATTTATCTGAGCCAGTTTTGAGGCTTTCATGGTAGGGTCTGAAACTGGATCTATGTCAACATTTCCTTCATATGTGTAGTGATAGAAAACATTAATAGCTTCTTCAGCTGCCTGTGAAAATTTATGATCAAAACAACTATAAGAACTCATCAGATCTGGCATAAGTCCAGAGTGAAACAGAAAAAAAACTCAACAATGATCATAAACTTCATATTAGTCTTCCATACTGTAAATCAGATTAAGAAAAAGCCACCATTATTTTCTTCTATATTTTTCATGGGCACTGAAATATTCCTGAAGATGATGCATCTAAAGCTCATGCACTTTGAAAATCATTGCTACAGTTTATTTCAAGTATTTTCTACTATGCTACTGTTGAAGGTTACACAGAATGGCAGGGTCTGCAACCTCATTAAGACTTTACAACAGATTGTGAAGTCGTA